CTGTGCTACCTGAGCTCTGTTCCCTCCAGGCCCCCGAGATTCCTGCTTTTCTGAGCAAGCGTCAGTCTTGCAGTCACCAGTAGGGAAGCAATCTGCCCTTCATTACTGAAGCTTGGTCAATTTCTGGGCTGCCAAGTTGGGGAGGCCCTGGTTCGAGGGCATGTGGGTCAGGTACCTTTCTTAGGAGGGCCACTCAAGGGGAGATTTGGGGAGGAGAAGAAATGAGATTTCACTGGAAAATTCAGCAAGCAGTTGCCACAGGAGATACAATTAATGTGCATGTTGGGAAGAAGGCAAGCTAGGCACTCTTGGAATGCAGTGCTTTAGACCAGCACCTAGCTAGGATTCCCATACAGTGGAGGATGGCTGAGGAGCTGCTAGCACGATAGAGCTATGTCCAAGAAAAATGGCGTTGGCTGCATTTGAAGTTTAATACAGGGTATGACACACAAAAAATATTTAGTGTTTGTTCAGTTAACAACTAAATGCATGAGCACATTATATAGAGGTGTGTTCGATATTGCCCATGTAAACCCTTCTCAAATCGTTAAATGCAAAGCCCTTATTGAGCTCCTTTGTATGATTATGACCCTCACCCTCAGCGCACCATCCAGTGTCAACATTTCCTTCCTAAGAAAGATGTCAGCATAAAGACTTGGGGTTCCACTTCTAAAAATTTAAATGCAAACACTACTGGCCAGTGAGTAACATAAGACAAGTGAGATCATATGAACATGAGACCCAGATTTACAAGGGTGATTCTACACAGAGAATTTTCATAAGGGAAATTTAAAGATCTGCAGAAGTAAGGGAGTGATTGAAGGCACTGAATGCTGTACCCTAACCACAGACTGCCTGTACAAAGCAGAAGCTGTGCTTGGACAGACTGTGATGCAGCACACGCCCAGAAAAAAATTCAGCACTGTGAAATCAATTGCCTCGGAGAGTCCTTCATTCAGACAGTCTATGGGTGATAAGGTTTTGAAATAGATATGCAATTTCTTTAGAAAAATAGAAAGTAAACATAATCTTAAGTAGGTATAACTTCTGTAGGCAAATGATTTCACAATTCTCTCATTCTTGCTTGCTTTTTTGTCTAGTTTTGGGAATTAACACGATTGCTTGTGTTGTTACCAATTTCAAAAACTAAAAGACAAGAGAATAGGAGAATCACAAAGAATATAAAGTTCCTGCTGAATCCTACCAACCAGATACATTAGCACATTTATTAAAACCATTATTCTTCACCTCGATTATTAGACACATATATGAATATGCATGCATATTCATTTGTGATAACATTGTACATTCTATTCTGTAAACTTCCTTTTAAAATAATGTGTAATATGCTTTTAACACTCAACAATTACAACATACTTCATCATTCTAATTATTAGTGTATCATATTTCCATTCTATGAAAGAGTTCACTAAATGTATTTGGAGGGTACTTTGTAAAAAGACAGTAGAGAACGTACTTAAATTATCTTTGCTTGTTGGTTTGCTAGTTAGCACAATGCCATTGGACAGTGCAATCCTTCATGTAGTAATTGAGCTAAACATCATGTTCTTGGCATTGTGCTCAGTATAGAAGATACAAATGCAAAGGTAACCCAGTGAGGTGAGTTCATAATTTAGAATCTTGTCAGATAAAGTAGTAATTGGACAATTATAATGCATCATTGTAAGCCCTATAGAAAAGGGCAGCACAGAAATCCTTAAAGATCCAAAAGAGTGGAGGAATGGGAGAAATCTGTAAAGAGAAGATGATGCTTTTCTTTTCATATAAAAAGTATTAAATTTATTTCATAGTCTCATTTTTAAGTTAGAGCTGTTGGGTAATGACTAACTTAAAAATGTATCATCAGAGGTGCAGTAAACATTACTAATTGTTGCAGTAAATAAAATTACTGGCTCATGCATTTAGAAAAGTCATGGTTAATAGTCAAAAGTTCTGGTTACCGTTCTTTTAGTCTAGACTTAACTATAGCACATCCTTATTTTAAAATAATTTATCCTGTTCATGCAATTACTATTATGCCCATCCAAATTTTTCCTAATTTTATATCTTTCTTTACCTCTTATGAAATGTGGCTTACATGTTAACTCTTTCAGAGCTCCTTGAACAAAAACATAGTGTTAATCTTCACTTCCACCTATTTGACCAGAAATACAGGAGTCATTACCATGAAAGTTAAAATGAAGAATGGAATAAAAAAAAACAAGTGTTGTCTATATAATGAGCAAATTATCTGATAATATATTTTAACTTGGACACTTTAACTTCAAACTATTTCAGTTTTAGCTCAAGAAAAAACATGCCTGCAAGGTATTGCAGTGCTTGGCATTTTCACTGCAAGTTTTCAATCAGCATTACTCAACAACTCATTTCTAAGAAGGGGCCAGTGTTTATAAGTACAAAAATTCTTACATCTAGTGGATGGTACTATTCATACGCAAAACAAGACAGATTTTTAAAAAATAGGTTTTAAAAATTGCAGAATTTTAAACCATTACTGGATAAAGTTCAAAAAGTCATCTGTTTCCACAGGATATTTGTATTTTAGAACGTAGGTTAAAGAATGGCAAATCACTAAGTCAGTGCTGAAGAATTTGTACTACAGGTTGAATATGCCTTTTCTGAAATGCCTGGAACCAGAAAGGTTTCAGATGTTTTCACATTTTGGAATATTTGCATCGATATCCTGAAGCAATCATATTTGCTATAGCCTGGAAGAATGTTTTTAGTGCCTCTGCATTGTGACTGAGACCCTCAGAGGTCAGCTGTGGAACTGTGCACTTGAGGAACCACGCCTGCGTGTGCGAAATTTGGGATTCCAGAGTACTCTGGGCTGGGCGTCAGGGATGCTCAGTCACTACAGTCAGTACAGATCTGTAACAGCCGCCTGTGGTCACCAAGAGACATCTGTGCCAGGCCTAAAGGTTACCGCAGTATCGAGGTCAGATTGCAGGACGATTCTTCTGCACAGACAGCAATGACTTCCATAACGTCCACGGAAACCTTACGGGGTCCTTCCAAAGCGGCATAGTTTCCCTAACGACTTTTCTTGTTTTTATTCTTTCTTGCAGAACCTGTTCATCCCTTCAACCCTTTCAGTCGATAAGCTTTTGCAGTATTTTCTTGACGTTTTTGTTTCTCCTTTTTTCCTTCTCCCGGGCTTCAATCATCCCGGCCAGGTTCCAGGACAAGAGGGCCCTTGCTAGGAACGGCGGAGTAAGGGCCAAATGTGGCGCAGTCGGTTAGCGCGCGGTACTCACACACCGCAAGCTCCTGAGACGTTTACATTCCCTTCTTCCTGGCAGCGCTGCGGCGCAGAAGCCCGTTTCGCCCCCGGCCCGGCTCAGCGACGGCCACGGGCCTGCGGCGCCGGGACCCCGACCTCGCGCCCAGCGCCCCACTCTAGAGGAGGAGACGCTGGGACCGTTTCTGGGCGTCCGTGGAGCCCCCAGCTGCAGGCACTCCACCGAGCGCGTTTAGGGGACGTCTAGTGAGTGCTCTCCACACGTGAAGCATGTGAATATTGAATAAATTGATAAAAACGTGAAGTGGAACTCTTCTAAGATACTAATGCCAGCCAGAAACATTTACAGAACTTGCAGAAACTCGGTCCAAAGAACATACTGTATTCTACTTCAGTGTTCGAGCCCCATATCATCTAAGCCGTCTAAGCTTTTGAGAATAATTTGGATGCATATAGCTATTTAAATTATTGGTAAATAATAATGATTATAGCTCCCTAGTATACAGTTTCTAAAACTCCTCAGGCCCTCCCGGAGTCACGCGCGCTGCGTCCCGCAGACCAGAGGCCCCGCGGCCTCCGCGCGTCGGTCTCGCTGTAAGTGTTGGCCGACCGCGCTGCCTGTGGCTCGCAGCCTTCAGCGTGGCTTCTTGGTTGACTTTAGTAACTTTGGTGGTACTCAAGACACGCGTAAAGACTTCCATTTTAGAGATGAGGAAAGGGGTCTTTAGAAAAGCTACGTAACTGTTTACATTCACAGCAAATTTTCTAACAGATTCTAAATATTTATAAAGATGGTTTCGGGGAGATAGCTCAGTAGAATAAGCACTTGCCTGGCAAGCGCAGGTTCCCGAGTGCAATCCCCAGTGCCGCAATAAATAAATAAATAAATAAATAAATAAATAAACAAAATTTAAAAAATGAAGACATGGTTTTCGTCCATCTTCTTATCTAATGCTCACTATCACTGGCCACTCCCAACGTACTGCTCTCTCGCAAAATTCTCGAGGTGCGATAAACCAGAGCAGAGAATCTAGAGAGCCACCTCAGGACCAAATTCCATCTTCACCCAAGTCCTCCTACACTGGCAGATTTGTTTACTTCAAAACAATATGGAGCCAAAGTAGTTCTTTTAGAAACCATAACCTTCACATTCAAATTCTTATGAAATAATAACAGGTTTTTATCTCTTTCAGGAAGGTAGATCTTTCTATATTTTTATTATGTTTAAATGTTTATATAACCAACTTCCACTGTCCTTGGATTTGCTTTGAATCACACATTTCTGCAACCTAGAGAAGGCTAGGCACTGGCACATAAGAACTTAACGGGAATTAAGTGAGTTCCTGGGAATTCTGTGTTCCCCATTCAGGACCAGCTCTGCCTCATGGCCTTGCAGTATGAGATTTTAATAGAACTCATCTTTGACCTAAGGCAGGACAAGCTGAGGTGCGCTCTACGTTCTAACAAGATGTGGTTGAATCTGGGACCTCAGCACATTCTAGCCCTCACTGGCTTTTCTTTTTTCCTAGCCAACCTCACCAAAACTCTCATACCGCTCTCCATTCCTAAGGCACTTCTTTGGTAACACTTCTACATGCAAATCCTTAGCTCAGTATCTCCTGAGAAAACAACAGTCCACCACAATTCACCAGCTTTTATGCGATAGCTAGTGTCACATTTGGTCCACATCCATCTTTTCATCAGTAGATTCGTAACTCATGAAGAGGTAGGAACAAACCTGTCAACAAATGCATGATGAAGAAGGAAAATGGGGTCGTTGGCTGATCCTTGCACTTGGGACATGGTTCCGTTCATATAGATGTGCAAAGCATTGTGCATGCTGCTTCGTGAGGCGTCTGCTATCCCGGTAACTGGACTAGCAAATCCTGTTGGTTAAAAAAGTAATCAAAAAGCATTTAGTTTACCTAATAGAAGTCCAAGTGACTTTTATTTGGCTTAAAACTACAAAGGAAAGTCTGATTCAAACTAAAATCAATCCACAAGATGCACTATGCTTTGGGATTCCTTGTATTCTGCACACCTACTGAGAAGTCAATAAATCTTTGTAGAAAGGAGTGGCATTAATTTGGGTACAACTAATGCATTAAGGAAATGAAACAGGCTGAACCAGCTTGTGCTGTTCACTGTTGCTTCTGTATATTATTTCAATATCTGGGTTTTTTTTTTTTTTTTGTATTTTAAGGAAGGGTCTACAGGATTTTCAGGCTCTCACTACTAGTTGGGACTCATAGTGATCCGCCTGTTTACAGCTTCCCAAGAGCTAGGATTACAGGTGGGTGCCCCCACGCCCAGTCTCAGTTGCTATCTCAGCGTGTCCTGGGGGTAGGGCCGGCACGGGGCAGGCCCAGGGATCGAACCCCCCTGTGCCTGCTTGCAGGTGCTTTAATCAGCGGAGCTATTTGGCAGGCCTTTGGTTTCAATATCTGTATGCAGAGGAGGCACAAAATTTGTGACCTTCTATACTGTAATTTATCTTTGACAGTCCTGGGGCCACAGATCATACTGTGTATAATACAAAATATTCATTTTATGGTTAAAGAAATTTATCCTAAAGATCACGCCAAGCCCTGATTTCTCAGTTAAGTACCTTAAGAACATACCCATCTCTCTTCAGTAGACTGCTTGTATATAACAACTTTTGTAAAAGAGTACACATGCTGTGCAGGCATTTTTCTCAGAGTTTGACACAATTAATTTCATATAATGTTATGAATGAACATACCAACTAGATATGTACGTTATCACAAACTTGAAAAATAAGAACTTAGGGCAAGGAATCTGTGTAAAGCTTAACAGTGGATAGGAGCTGTTGATCAAACCCTCTTTTATTATGCAGCTTAATCTCTTAAATGCAACTGTTTTCGGCTGTTCCTGTGTGGTAATAAATCATGTCATCGAGGGCAACATTCTTATGGCGATAATTTTCAGGTTTTGTCTGTGAGTAGCTAGCACTAAATAAAAGTTTTATAATAGCATATTACATGTGCTCGCTAATCCTTTCAAGTAGGTTCCAAATTGTTTTAACTACAATTATAAATAATTTCATAGGACATAAACTCAGCAATTTTGCAAATAGCCTTTGAACAAATGCCACTGTAATTTTTTTTTGTGTGTGTGGCCAGCTCAGCCCACCTGGGGTGTGGGGCTGGTGCAGCATGTGGTGCTGGGGATCGAACCGTGGTCCCTGCCCTGCCTAAGCTTGCCTAAGCAGGTGCTTTAGACTGCTGAGCTATCTTGTTGGCCTGCAAGTATAATTTTAAAAGAGTAGACACTGTAATGATTTTATATTCATCATCATCCATATAAAAAGACTTAAGCAAATTTGTAATTTGGAATTTTTTAGTTTTCTTTTTACACTTAGAGTTTGTGTTCCATTTTCCAAAGTTGTACCTGTTTTGGGCTTTAGGATGGATTCTAAGGATAATTGAGGAGCTGATGACTGAAGTACAGAACCTTCAGTTAGACAAGAGGAAGAAGAACCTCATCAACGTGTGCAGTGGTAATAACTGAAACGAAGGTATGAAAAACCAGAATATTGGTACCAGTTATGTTATAAATGTTCCTGCCCTAAGGTCTGATGTTTGTATGACAACAGATAATTTAGTTGTGTATAGTTATTTCTTTATAAGTATATCAACCAACATACAATGTTACATACCATAAGTGTAAATAATTTTTGCCAATCAAAAATTATTTCATTATACCTATCTGTAAAAATATGTAGGCATATAAAGTAAACTCATTTTTAAGTAAATTTTATGTAAACATTATTTTAGTACATGGACATCATTTAAATATCAGTCAGGGCAGAGAGCTCGTGCAACAGCACAGGTGCCCGCTTGGGAGGGGCAAAGTCCTCAATTCAATCCCTCATACAAAGAAAAAAAATTAGTGTAGCACAACTGATTAAACCCACACAAATAAATATTTTATAAAATAATTTTAAAATGTAAGCAAAATTTTATTGAACATGAATTTCTTCATTAGGTTCATTAAAATTGTTAAAATTAATTCAAACATGCAGAGATGAACTATCTTTGTCAGACAAAGGGACATCAGTAAAAATTCTATACAAAGTTTTTTAAAAAATTACCTAAAAATGTTTTCCCTTCCTTGTTTCTTTTCTTCTTGCCCATGTCCCAGCTGCTCCTTCCCTTGGATCAGTTTCTTTCCCTTTCACAGTATCTGTTGTACCTTTACGATTTTATTTATTCTTTCAGGTTCTTTCACTAGTGAGACAATGTGATGTTTGCACACGCGGGTCTGATTTATTTCACTTATGAGTGTGGTCTTTAGTTGCATCCATTATGTATAAAAGTCTCACATTTATTTTTTTATAGCTGAGGACTACTCCATTGTATAAAAATACCACATCT